AGTGAAAATTTCAGGAATTCCATGAATTAATCTTAACAAAGGGAATGTTATGGAAATGACTTAATCATATCTTAGAAGCAATCCCCCCTCCCCCTGCCCGGAAAGGAAAGCGAACGCTTTCTGTCCTATCCTGTCCTGTCAGGAAAGGAAAGCAAACGCTAACTGCTACGTAAAAGACAGCACCTCAGAGGCCTGCTGCCCGGGACAGGCGATGTTTGTCCGTACTTGGCGATTCTCTCCAAACAATCGACGTTGTCCTCCTTTATGGCCACTGCCAGAACTGCCACTTCTTATTACCTCCCTGCTAGGACCTAGCGCGGCTTGCATTTCATTGGCTAGTTCGAGCCCCGCCTTGCAGAACGGTTCTGTTCCATTGGCCGCGGGGGGCGGGTTGACCGGGTGTTCTCGCGGAGCAGCTTGGGACGTGTGGTTCGCTCACAGGGAGGGAGGCTCAGACTCCCAGCGGCCTCCGCGGGGGCGGGACTCCCGGAAGTGTGGGGCTTGTGCAGGGGTCAGGTGAGGGCGGCGCGGCGAGCGAGGGGCGGGTGGGCCGGTCTCGTGCGGGTGGGCGGCGGCCGCGGGAAGCAGCTCAAAGGGCCTCCGTGCGGGTTCCGCTTCCTCCTGTCCCCGCCCAGCGGGTCCCGGCAGCGTCCTTCCCGCTCGGCCTGGGCCAGGGTAGCTTAGACGCCTCTTCCCGCCTCCCAACACAGCCCGGGGCGGGAGGCGGCGCAGTCTGCCGCGGGCACCGGACTGAGATCATCTCCTCGTCATTTCAAGCTACCGTTGTCACTGCTGCGTGGGGTTTCCTCCTGTGTACGCCTGTCCGTAAGAGATCTGTTGCCAAAACATGCTTGTGTTTATAGTGTTTGGGTCATGTCGTAAGTGTGATGATTCAAGAAAAATGTTAGAGGCAAGGAGACTTGTCAGTGATATTTTATTGGAACAACTGTATAGTTGTGAGGGTCACTACCCAGCTTTAGGGTTGCACTGTACTCTTCCTCTGTTTTTTTTTCCCCAGATGCTTCAGGAAGGCAGGGTACAGTCATACCCAGAATCTTGTATATGTCCATGCCAAATCTACAGCTGGTCCTGTGGATCATAGTAGAATCATAGAATCACAGAAATCACTCAAAGCAGGACCATCCCCAGGTAGATATAAGTAGCCAAAGCTTTGTCAAACCAGGCATGAAAACCTTCCAATGATGGAGATTCCACCACCTCGCTGGGTAACTTGTTGCAGTGCTTTACCACCCTCCTAGTGAGAGTTTTTCCTGATATCCAACATAAACTTCCCTTGCTGCAACTTGAGACCATTCCTCCTTGTTCTGTCATCTGCCACTACTGAGAACAGTCTAGCTCCATCCTCTTTCCAGCCTCCCTTCAGGTAGTTGAAGGCTGCTATCAAATCCCCCATCAGTCTTCTCATAAGCTTCCTTTTGTTTTTAAGCTCACCAAAGAGTTTTCTGCTGAACCAAGCTGGCTGCCATATTTGCTATTCTTCCTGCACATCAGGATGGTTTGTTTCTGTGCCCTCAGTAAGGTTTCTTCAGAATACAACCAGGTCTTCTCAACTCCTCTCCCACTCAGGCTGACCTCCCTGGGGATCCTGCCCATCAGTTTCCTAAGGGAGTCTCTGCTTTTCTGAAGTCCAGGGTCCTTACTCTGCTGCTCTCCTTTCTTGCTTTCCTCAGGATCCTAAACTCAATCATCTGAACTCAATCCTGAACTCGGTCATCAACAGATGTCAGTGTGATTGAAGTCCCCCATGAGAATCAGGGGGACTTCTGCGATTGGGAAACTGCTGTCAGCTGTTTGAAGAAAGCCTCATCCACCTCATCTTCCTGGTCTGGTGGTCTATAGCAGACATCTACCACAATATTACCCTTGTTGCTCTCTCCTCTGACCCAAACCCAGAGACTTTCAGCAGACCTATCTCTAGTTTCATACTAGTACTTTGAGCAATCATACGGCTCTTTTACATAAAGTGCAACTCCTCCTCTTCTCCCCTGCCTGTCCTTCCCGAACAGTTTGTACCCATCTATGACAGTGTTCCAGTCATGTGAGCTCCCACCAAGTCTCTGTTATTCCAGTCCTGCCCTAGTTCTGAGACTGCAGGGACTTCCAGTTCTTCCTGCTTGTTTCCCAGGCTCCGTGCATTTGTGTACAGACACCTGAGGTTGCCCTGTAACTTGAGGTTACAGATGCCTGATTGCCCTACTTTCTCATGAAGGAGGAGGGGGAACCACTGTTGCCCCTTCCTCCTTTTGTTTCTTCCAGGTCTCCCATTTCCCCTGCCTCAGGGCTTTGGTCTCCATCCCCCAGGAAACCTAGTTTAAAGCCCTTCTCATTAGGTTAGCAAGCCTGTCTGCAAAAACGCGCTTCCCTCTCTTCATCAGTTGGAAGCCCATCTCTTCCTAGCAATCCTTGGAACAACATCCTGTGGTCAAAGAAGCCAGTAACTTGGATCACAGCCTGCAGTGCACTGAAAAGTAACAATTGCAGTGTTCAGCCTTTGACTGACAAAATCAGTTTACTGAGGGCACAGACACACTTGGAGAAGTTTCAAAAGGGGAGTGTTATAAAAGGGTAGCAGCTGATACATTTACATTGCTGGAGCAGTTTGAAGGATTTTGCTACATTGGTATCATTCCAGGCTTGTCTGCACCCACAGTAGGAAAGTAATAGCTGCTGCCCTTTTGAAAGGCCTCCAAATGTAGGCATGTGTCCTACCCTGAGTGATTATTACAATGTGATCAGTTGCAAAGGAGTTATTTTTTTGCAGAACGTGATAGGAATTAAGGTGATGCTGGATTAATGTTGCTGAGTTTAATGGATCTGGCAAAGCTCAAGGAGATGTGAAATTTATGGTCATAGCACATACTTGAATAAAGGCATAGGCCAGTTTTGGCAGCCTCCAAATCCAGAACTGCAGGACAGAAGCCCTTTATGGGGAGAGAAATCTGCACAACTTCCTGTATTACACTGGCTTGGGGTTAGGAAATTGAAGGAGACTGAAACTGGCTGAGCAGCTGCAGAGGTAGGTTAGAAGAAACTAATGAAAATACTGTCAACAGATTCTGTGGCTTTAACCAGGCTTTTTTCTTTTTTTCCTGAACTGATTGGCTTCTAACTCTTCCCACTCCCTCCATCGCAATCTGTATAGCACCTATACAGGAGGGCCCTGCCCTTGGTTGACCCTAAGCACTACTGTAATAGATATGATTGAGGCCCATAGCACGTGTTCATTTAATAGTGTGATGGGATCTATTCCTTTATTCCAACAGCTGAACCTCCTGTCATGTCACATGTTGAGCAGACGCACAACTCTGGGATCAGGGTTTGGATCATGTTCCCAAGCTCCCCCTGCACAGCCAAGTAGGAAGCTTGGGTGCCTGATGAACCAGCATGGTCCTGGGGCTGAGACCACTGGTCAGATGATTAGTAGTCCCAGCCCCAGGACTACACAAGAGTGTCAAACTTGCTCTGTTGTGGTCCTGTGGCTGGGACTGACAATCAGCTGATTGTGGATCCCAGCCTTGGGACTGCACCGGAGGCAGTCCCAGAGCAGCTGCATGGTCAGGACCTGAAACCAAGTGTAAAATTACAGTGTTACACATTTGGTGGAATAATTTTGTGGTTTATTTCCTTTTTTTATCATGCCACTAATCATACAAATGTGTGGCTGGCATACTGTTTAAGACATGATTAGCTGGTCTTTTTGAGTTCTTTACCACAAAATAATTGTTCTAGTATTTTTATGTTGTCAAAAATGAGTGAAAACTAAGAGCCAGCATTTTCTAAGGGTCCCTTGAATCTGAAAAGGTTGAGAACCACTGTGATTCTTAACATTTTTAGTCTCAAGGGCCCCCTTAAGTGTAATGTCTTCCAGGGGCCTAATAGTGATGAGCTGAGGATGAGCAGGGAGAGTGGTGACATGCAAAGCTAGAGCAATATGAAAGAGATGTGAGGTAGAGAAAGCTGTAAACAAAAAGATCTAGTGCTGGAGATAAATTAATCCTTGTTCTTTCACAAGAAAAGGAAATGAGTATTGTTTGTTCCAAAATTCAGATTAAGAAATAAGACCTCAAATACTGAGGCAGCTGCATCAGATTACTTTAGTAAAGAGTCAAGTACATGCATTGTTATCTCTACATTTTAAGGTGATTAAACTCCCTGGCTAGGAAATTAAAATTAACTTCAGGCAGGAAATTAAAATTAACTTCAGGCAGTCGTGAAATTATGCTTCCTTTAACTAAGTTACTGTAAACAGAACAGTGAACAAATTGAAAGAACAACTGGCTGGTGTATTTGTTTGAAGTATGCTAATGTAATTTCCAGGGTTCACACACCAAATTATTTCATAGACATTTGGGCTGGAAGGGACCCCGCAGGATCATGGAGTCCAGCCCCCTGCCCCAGGGGCAGGAAGTCAGCAGGGATCACAGGACCCCAGCAAGATAAGCATCCAAATGTGTCTTGAAGGCATTCGAAGTGGGTGCTTGAACCGCCTCCGGCGGCAGGGTATTCCAAACCTTGGGGGCTCGGACAGTAAAGAATTTCTTGCTTGTTCCCAGCCTGAATTGGTTGCAAAGGAGTTTGTGACTGTTCGATCTTGTCATCCCTTGGGGCGCTTGGGTGAACACCCCGATATACTTGTAGGTGGCCACCAGATCGACCCTGAGCCTGTGCTTTTCCAGGCTGAAGAGTCCCATGGCTCTCAGCCTCTCTTCATACAGTCTGTTTTCCTGACCTCTGATCATGCACATGGCTCTCCTCTGCAGTCTCTCAAGCTTTACCACATCCTTCTTGAATTGTGGAGCCTAAAACTGGATGTAGTACTCCAGCTGCAGCCTCACCAAGGCTGAGTACAAGGGGAGAATGACGTCCCAGGATTTGCTTGAGAGGCACCTGTGGATGCATGCCAGTGTTTTGCTTGCTTTACTAGCTGCAGCATCACACTGAAGGCTCATGTTCATCTTGTGGTCAGTCATGACCCACAAGACCCTTTCATCTGTAGTGCCAACCAGTGTAGAACAGCCGAGCCTATAAGTATGCTGCAGGTTTTTCCTCCCAAGGTGGAGAACCTTGCATTTTTTGGTGTTGAACACCATCAGGTTCTCATCCACCCACTTCCTGAGCCTGTCCAGGTCAGCCTGGATCACCCTCCTGTCCTCAGGTGCGGATGTTTTACCCCAGAGTTCGGTGTCAAACTTGGCCAGTCTGCTTCTGACACCAATGTCTACATCATTGATGAAGATGTTAAAAAGAATAAACCCTAGGACAGAGCCTTGAGGGACCCCACTGGTGACCATGCACCAAGACAAGTGGCTTCTGTCAACCACCACCCTCTGGGTCCTACCGTGGAGCCAATTCCCCAGCTAGCGGATCGCGGTGAGGTCAAGGCCACAGTTATCCAGTTAAGCCAGTTTAGCCAAGAGGTGATCATGGGATACCAAATCGAAGGCTTTTTTGAAGTCAAGATATATGACATCAATCTCTTCCCCCTTGCCCAGGTGATGGGTCACCTGGTCATAAAAAGAAATGAGATTGGTCACGCAAGACCTACCAGCAACAAACCCATGCTGGGTACCTCTCAGGATATTGCCTTCAGCTAGTCTGTTAAGGATGGCCTCTTTGATAATCATTTCCAAGACCTTCCCCAGGATAGAGGTCAGGCTGATGGGCCTGTAGTTTGCCAGATCTACTTTCCTCCCTTTCTTGAAGATCGGCATGACATTGGCCTTCTTCCAATCTTCGGGCACTTCACCAAAGCACCAGGAGTTCTCGAAGATCTGTGCCAGGGGCTGAGCTATGATGCTAGCCAGCTCCTTGAGTACCCTGGGGTGTAAACTGTCAGGGCTGGTTGACTTGAAGGTATCCATCCTGTCAGGGTGTTCCTTTGCGAGATCAGCTTTGATGGAGGATAAGGAATCTCCCTCATCTGGGCATCCCTCTCCCACAGTGGGCAGGGGCATCCCATGGGTCTGGTGAAAAACTGACGCAAAATGCCCAGGAAAACGCAAATTTGCTAAATGGGTATCTGTTGTCCCATCAGGTTTAGCAGGGGTCCAGTGTTGCCCTTTCTTTTCCTCCGGCTCCCCACATATCTAAAAAAGGGACCTTTTTATTGTCCTTGATATGTGTAGCTAGCTGGAGTTCCAGCGCGGCCTTGGCTTTCCTGGTTTGCTCTCTGCAGGTCCAGACCAGAGCAGAGTATTCCTCCTTGGGAGAGCCAGGGGGGCTGCTGTGCCATTTTGCTGCCTTTCCTCCGAGATGGGATATCCTTTGCTTGTGCATCCAGTATTGCTCCCTTGAGGAGCAACCACTCGTCCTGGACTCCCCTCCCCTTTGGGTTGTGTCCCTTTAGGGCCTCCCTGACAAGCCTCCTGAGCTTGTCAAAGTCAGCTTTCCTGAAGTTGAGGACTTCCGTGTTGCTGACTGACTTGCCAGCTTTACGGCGGATGAGAGAGGTGATCAGCTCGTGGTGACTGTCACCCAGCCTCCCTTCGATCATTAGGTCGTCCATGGTTTCCAGTACCGGGTCAAGCAGTGCTTTACTTCTCGTCAGCCCATAGACTTCTTGTGTCAGAGGTCATCCACGCATGAGTGAAAGCTTTGCGACCCCTCTGATTTGGCTGAGCGCTCTTCCCACAAGATGTCTGGGTAGTTGAAGTCTCCCATGACAACCATGGACTGGGAGCATGCAGCCTCAGCCAATTCTCTGGCAAATTCCTGGTCAAGGTCTTGGCCCTAGTTAAGGGGTCTGTAATAGACTCCCATCATAATATCCCCTGTGACGTGTTCACCATGGATTTTAACCCAGAGGGTCTCAAGTCATCCACTGTGGGTGCCAATGTCGGCTTGCAGGGGTGTGTAGCTTTCCTTAAGAGAGAGAGCTCACCCCTGCCCCTTTTGTCCACTTGATCCCTCCTGTACAGGGTATAGCCATCTATACCTGTGGTCCAGTCATGGGTGGAGTCCCACCAGGTCTCTGTTATCCCTGTGATGACATAATTATTTGCATTTAGCAAGAGGACAGGTTCCTCCTGTTTATTCCCCAACCTCCTGGCATTTGTGTATAGGCATGCAAGTGTCCCCTTGGGGGCCCTTGCCTTCAGTTTGTTCCAGGGTTGGGGCAGGGGTGGGATCCCGCGAGTGCCTTAGACTGTTGGCTTTGCAAGGGTTGCTCAGCGGGCCAGCAGTGGTGGTAGTCTCCCCATCCCCCGGCAGGCTTAGTTTAAAGGCCGGTGGAGCAGGTCAGCCTTGCTGAGAAGAGGCTCCTCCCCAGCAGAGACGTGGAGGCCGTCCCTTCCCAGCAGCTCACTGCCTCTCTCCCCAAAGGGAAGGCTGTGGTCATGGAAGCCAAAACCTTCCTGACTTGCTGAGGTAGTAACACTGACAACAACTTCCTTGCAGTTGACAACATGAGGAGGTGCTAACTTTGTTCAGATGATATTGCTGTTTTTGAAGTGTATCTTGGTGCTTGTCATTCCTTATGCTTGTCCCTTAATTTAAGCAGGGCTACATTGCTCTCCAAGGTAAACATTTCTAAAATGGCCCTTCTTCCCAATGCATCTTTTTTTCCTTTTTAAATTATAAATCTGGCCCCTACTGTACAGGGCTGCACTTTGTCTCAGTGCTTAATAATGTGTAAAGCTTAGTCTTGGCACATATGCTCAAAAGCCATCCTAACCATGTTCTAACTGGAAGAGGAAAGGAACAAAAATCTCATTGACTGGAAACTTTTTGTAAAAGATGGGTTCTTAACATAATTTGTCATGGTGTTCTGTAGAGCGTCCTTGACCCAAAGAGAATACTAAATTAAAAGGCTGTCTGTGGAGGTTCTTCAGCAACATTTCCTGCTTCTCAGTATAGCTTTCCTGGCCACAGAAGGCAGAGGAGGAGATCCAGGTAAGAGTAGGAATTCCAGTGGTATATTTCTGACACAGAAGCACCTCCCAAGCTAAGGGTATGCCTGACCTTCAGAGCCAAACAAAGGTGTCAGACTCATCTGGCTCCATGGGCTGGATGGAGGGTCCCCGAGCCATCCTGCAGGCTGTACTAGGACGGACTTCCTTGTTCAGGACCTTTAGCCCCCGGTTCAGCTTGTGCACTGCACGTAGCACGTGTTGGCCCTAGAACTCGCTGTGCAAGCAGCATGTGGGGTCAGCACAGGGCCTGGCCATAGCATACAGGCTGGACGAGCACTGCAGGCATCATGGGGTCAGTCTGGGTCAGTGCCCCAGTATCCTCTGCCCAACCCATGTGCTGCATCTGCCCCAAGGTTAACACATATTGCATGCAGGAATGGGCTGGCCGTGAGCAAGGCAGGCAGCACAGGTGGACAGTTCAGGGTGTGCACTTGCATGTGACACCCTGCCAGCCTGGACCTTTGTGCTAGTTCCAGCTCCGCCCAATCCACTCTAGCCCCAGAACCAGTGCATGGGGCCAGTCTGGTGGGGTGTTGCATGCAGCACGTGTCCTGGACCAATACCCTGTGCTGTGTACAGGGCATATGGGGCTGGGGCTGCTGTGTGGGGCTAGTCCAGTGACCTATGGGCTGAATCGTATAGAATCACAGCTGGATCTGGTTCACAAGCCACATGGTTGACACCCCTGTATTACAACATTTGTAGAACATTGAAATCAGTAAACTGAGCACTGTTTTTATTTTGGTCCTTCAGGACTCAGAGTGATGTCAGAACTCAGTGATGAAGCCAGTGAATCAGAGCTGCTAAGCCGCAGCCTTTCCATGTGGCATGGTGTAGGTCAAATGCTCTGTCGAGAAGAATTGGATATTCCGCTGGATCTACACACAGCCTCCTCCATTGGCCAATATGAAGTGGTTCAGGAATGTATTCAGCGGTAAGGAGCTGGGGGGCACAGCTGACTCAGATTTTATTTCTAGATGATTGTAGTATAGGGTTCTATACTAGAACAAGGGCATGTTGCTGGAAAGCTGGACAGTAGCAGCTCTGTGCTCAGTGGAGGGTGACTCTTGGGACATATCTGTCCTGAGGAAATTAACCCCAAATTCCCACTGATTCAGCCACAGTGGGGTTAGAACAGGTGAGAACTTTAGTGTGGCAAACCTACCAGTATTAGTCTTGTTTTTAACTTCCATACTAGTAAAAATGATAATTGCTACAGGAGACTTGGCTGTACTACAACCCCATCTGGTCTGAACACACTTTCAGCTGACTTTTTCTCTGTTTTTTAGAGGAGATGCAGATTTGAATAAGAGAAACTGTGGTGGCTGGACCCCGCTGATGTATGCCTCCTACATCGGCCATGATACAATTGTGCACCTTCTGTTGGAGGCAGGAGTGAATGTAAACATCCCAACACCAGAAGGGCAGACTCCACTCATGCTGGCTTCCAGCTGTGGCAATGAGAGTGTTGCCTATTTCCTCCTCCAGGTGGGCATTCGGTAATTACCACTGAAAGCTGAAGTTGTGTTATTTAAATGTAAGAAGAGTGGACTCCATGAGCAGTTATAACAGAACTGTAAGATCAATGCACTGTTGTAAATTCAGGTTCCTGATGGGGGTGCAACACAGAGGGGCAGCAGCTCACAGGAGCTGTGATGCAGTAAAGATCATTCTCTCTTCTCTTGAAGCAAGGTGCAGAGCTGGAGATGAAGGACATTCATGGCTGGACTGCCCTTTTCCATTGCATCAGCACTGGACACCAACAGATGGTCAAATTCCTATTGGACAATGGAGCTAATACCAACTGCAGGTAAGACGCTCAATAGTTCTCATCTCAGATATCTGTATAATTTAAAATTTGCACACTGTGACTTAGTTTATGAACATATTCAACTGCAGCAGAGCAGAGGAAGAACATATGTTCCATTTCCTCTTCCCCTCTAACGCCTTAAGGAAATGAGCTTCAATGCACTGTCAATATCATCTTTGCAGTAAGTGTAATAAGCATAGTGCCACATAAGCTGAGGAGTGGAATCTGCCTGCAATACCACATCTAAGTCAGCATCAAGTGGAATTTTGCTGCTTGTTCCATTATGGGCTGATCTTTATGAAAGAAAGAGAGCATCAAAGCTTGCTCCTGACTTCATTTGTACTCTGCTGCCTGCCCTGATTAGGCTAGTGCTTGTGTGCAGACCCTGCAGTCTTTGGGTATTCATACTCACCACGTTGCTTTTGTGTTCTTCTGAGAATGCTGTGCTCTGTTGGTAATTTGCCTGTGAAACACGCTGCTTGATATGTGGAGGTTATTTCTGCTTTATTCATTAATTCCCAATATTGCTAATTTCCAAATTGAAGACCAGATCTTCAGCTGGTATAAATCACCATTGTTTGAAATCATAGAGGCTAAACCTGTTCACCTGATCTACCCTTTAATCTCTGCTAATAGTTGTACTGATTGAGACAATTTATTGCAGCTGACCTTTTTTTTTTTTTTCTAGATGAGTTTTTTGTTGGACTAGGAATGATGCATTTCTGAGCACAACCCCATTTCCTTGATATTTATTTTTCCTTTGAAAGATGCACTTATTTTATATAAATGGATATTTCCAGGTTAAACTTACATATTGCAGCAAATATTTTTTGCATTTGAATGTTTTTAAATAATTGCCAATGGCTAGACTGGTAATTACTGGGGTTTGTGGAGTTCAGAGATGGTGTAGCTTTGCCAACAAAATCTTTCTCTGTGTACACAGTCTATAGCAGGGGATGATAAGCACAGACCCATGCCACAAGGAGAAAAGGTTTTTTCATGCCTCTGTATACCATATCAGAGGTCACAGAGATGCAACCTGTGGAGGCCTGTAATCTGGCCCCTGGTGTTGCCTGAAGTTCTCAAACCAACCCCATGTGCTTACATGCAGCACACACCAACTCTAGTCCTGTATGCTGCATACAGTGGGTGGAGCTGGTCCTGTGTGTGCTGCATGCAGGGCTGGGCAGTATGTGGGGCTGGTCTGGGGCAAGGTCTATGCAGGGCCTGCATCTGAACAATCCCACTTGCCACATGCATTGGCTGGCTCTGTGCTGCCTGTAGCCCACATGCCAGTTCCAGCCCTGCATTCTGTGTGGAGCATGCACCAGAGTGGCTCCACATTCTACATCCACCCTCAGGGCCAGATAAGTTTGATAGCCCTGTACTATACTAACAGCTATTGGTACCTGGCAGCAGGATGTAAGTGTTTAGTTAAGCATTAACTCATCCTCCTCTGAGTTCTAACTGCTCTGCATACCAAAGATCAAGTGTAGCATGAAGTTCATTCTCAGCAACTAGAAATTTACACTGCTTATGTAAAAGGTACATATTAAAAATATGTATGGATTCAAACCAAGAACAGCATATGGGACAGATGGGTGTGTATTGTATGTGGCTATGACTTTGCAGATGTCAGTCACCTTTCCTGCTGACTGCATTGGGGATGGACTTAACCAATATGCTTAGCTGATGGCAGAAATAGGAAGTGCCCTGGTGGAATATGCCAGCAACATTAAATAACACTTTTCTTGTGCAGCTTACCAAACAATACTTGGCTGCATGTGATCTTTGGTGAAGAATTAAAGTTAATTTGCTGCTGGTTAAAAGGTCCTAGACAATACAATCCCTTGAAGATTAGTCAAGCCAGGGTTTAGATCCTGCCTCTGTGTTCACTGGGGGCATTCTGATCTTCCAGCCTCTGTTGATGATGATTGACTAACAGACTATATTACATCTTTAATAATTCCTGTCTCCAACTGCTTGTGTGCTTATTCTCTTTGTTATGTAGAGAGCCACTGTATGGATATACTCCTCTGATGGAAGCAGCTGCTTCTGGCCACGAGAGAATTGTCCAGTATCTTCTCAATCATGTAAGTGTCTGCTCAGTCCTTAATAAATCCTAGAATGTGGGGGTTCAGACATGCAGTAGGAGAATACAGGCTGTTGGGACATGAATCCTTTTAAGGGGTGTCATGTGTTTTGGTTGCTCCTCTGCATTATAAAGTCCCTTCTGTTTTGAGATCCCAGTCTTCTTGGAGTGGTGTTACATTATTTCCAATACTATTACTAAATAAGAAGAGAGATCTCAGTGTTTGTTCTAGACTGTCTAATCTAAGCAAGAATGTAATGGACTCAGTATAGCAACTTCTCTTACCATGCCTATCCCCTTCATTTGTCACTTGTCTTTCACTGTAAGCTCTTTGTGCAGGGGTGTCTTTTTCCAATGTGTTTTGTACCTTATGCAGTCTGGAGGACCTCATTCTAGCCAAGGCTTCTGGAATCTAGAATCCTTTCCAAACTGGGCAATGATATTAATGCCATGGTATCTTGAGTTCCTGGATTATTTCAGTGACAAATCGTGCAATTAAAGGAACCTTTTAATAGCATTTTTTGCTAAGACAAGCCATAACACCAGTTAGATATGATCTAGCCACTCCTGAAGATTGTTTTGGACCTGCCTGTGTGCATACTGTGCTTAATAGGCATCTGCAACCTTTCTGTTTAAAGCCTTTGAATATGCAGTCCACTTAGCCTCTGACAGCAGTGACTTGGTCTTATGTTTAATTTGTCCAGTGTGTTAAAGAAGGATGCAGCAATGTAAATACAACTAGGAGTAAAAGTAAGCTAGTTTCCAAATGGTGGTGGCACTGATATTGGGCAAATGGGATACTTTATAGGAGGAGGAGGGGACTGGCAGCAGGTTCTGAAATGGGAGATGCACTGGTTCATCCATGAATCTAGAGTTATTTTACAAAAATGAGCCTGTGCTTCCTGACAGATTTTTAAAAAGACAGAGACAAAGGGAGAGAGGGATTGATGGGACAGGGAGGTTCTTTGATTCCTTTGAATTCTGCAGGTGGTGCCTCTTCAGTATGACCATGACAAGTATACATATTGCCTCCCTAAAGGGTGTGAAAGTAGATGTGAGAGATAATATTGGAACCACAGCACGGACCTTGGCCGTGAAGTATGGACACATGAAGATTGTGGGACTGATAGACCTTCACACAGCCCCTGTGCCCAAGGTCTTCTGCAGGGGCCCAGGTAACTGAGACATCTTTGTGTGTGCATATTAAGGGAAAATGTGTGAAGGGGAAGTGATTTAAAGAAGACATACAAATGTGAGAAGGATCCTGGATGCTAGCCCTTTCTGGGTTTGAGATACCTGGCAACAGCAAACTTCTGATGTAGGCAGCCATTGCTTACTCATGGCTTTTTTTTTCCTGTTTCATTCAGTGTTTTTAATGAGACAATAGCAAATAAAACTTATTGGTGGTTAAGATTTTCCATGAAGCTAATGGTCTGTTTTTGGACTGCAGGAAAATATGAAGATCTCAGCTCATCAGATGAATCATGCTCTGTGCCACAGAGACAAAGACCTGTTCGTAAGACCAAGGGCCCTAGCATCCATGAGGGGCCCCAGGCTTTGGCTAAGATAACAGCAGTTGGAATTGGAGGGAAGAAGCAATCTCGATATGGTGAGCATTAGTTAGGAAATCTAACCTGGATATTCTTTCCTGATCTCCTCAAAGTGCTGTGCTGTCACAGTGCTGTTGTTACCGTATCAACGTTTCCATGCCCCTTCTGTTTAGACTTTCCTGCTTTACCCTCCCAGCCACAAACAAGCTGTCTGCCTGAACAAACTGCTGTCATTCAAAGGTTTGTAAATCAGTTGCCTGTAACAGACAGCCCTCAGCTGAGCCGTGGAGTCAGGAAGGATGTCAGCAAGGGTAGACGCTAATGAGTTTTTTGTTTGTCTGAAAATGTTTCATGACTGTCCTCTTGATGCTCTCTCTCAGACACTTGAGCACAGCCTTTGTCCTTCACAGGATAAAAACTAAGAGTCGGGGAGAGATTTGCAAGCTAGTGAGGGGCAAAGATTAGTCTGGTAAGACAACAGGATTGTTGATTCAGAAATTGTTCCTGGAACAGTCGAGCATAATCTTAAAGACTGCCAGAAACATTTGCTTCTGCCATAGAAATGGTAGTGGCAAGGGTTAGGCTAGAAGGACAGATCTAATTTGAATATTAACTCCTTGGATTCACCTATTTTGATGTTCTTCTGGCTAGGAAGAAAATAGTTTAGTGTTTGGTACCTCCTTTTGGCAGAGAGGTGATATTCCCATTGCAAATGTACTGACATGTCTATACTGACCCATATTGAAGTTTCAAAGGATGCTGCCAGAGTGGTGACACCAGTTGTATGTCCAATGGAAGCTCATATGGCATCTTTCCAAATTGTACATGGGTTAAGGGAGGATCTTCAGTAACTCCACTTTCAGGAGCAGAAATTTTAACCCAGAAAGTCTAGTGGTAGAGAAGAGAAAGTACTTCAGGCTCACTTTGCCAAAGGTGTGTATACTGCAGGGCTAGTTACCATGTGAGACTGATATAGTCAGAGCAGCTAGCACTGATTAGGTGTATATGTGCAGCTGTTCTCAGATGGAAGTAGCTGGCTTCCCTGTTCCTGATAACTCTGGGAACTGTTCAGAGGAGAATAGAATTTACCATTTAAAATGTGTTTTCCTTCCTTAATGATTAAGTTGGACATTTGCTGGCAGCCTCATTCATTGTGTGAATATCTGTCTGGTAGAGCTGCACTCTCACCCCTTTGCTGTTCAACTCTATCTCTTGCACACAGAACAGGTCCCTCTTCAGGGCTATGTTACATTTAATGATGATGGCAGCTTTGAAGGAGAGGCTCTCCGGTACCGGGATGTCACCTCTCCAATCAATGAACAGGACGTGGAGAGCAGTAGCAGCAGGGGTATGTCACTGTCTCAGAGGAGGGTGTGAATCCATAGGTGATTTAAGTTTGAGAATGGACCAAATATAAGTTTGAACATTTCCTTTGCAGTCTCCCCTGGTTTTAGGAAGGCAGCTTTCCCCTACCTTCTCCCATATCTGCATCTTGAATATAATAGTCTCTTGTGTAGGCATCCTGAGCTGACATAGCATTGGCTCTCCCCTGCACTCTCAGAGGAGAGTGAATTGCCTCAGCCTGAGGGTTGCACTAGATGACCCCAGAAGGTCCCTTCCAGCCCTGCTGCTCTGATTTTTATGATGAGAGTGAGTTGCCTACTGGAAGGAGCCGGGAAGAGAAGTGTGATTAAAGAGCTAACTCTTGGCTTATGGCAGAATTGGAGGGAAATGTTTGTTGTCTTCATGTTCTGACCTCATGCCGTGACTTTAGAGTAACCACTCCTGGATGTTTGACACAAAAGACCACACCTGATGGCAAAAAGCCAAGCACCAAGAACAGCTGTGACATGGGTGCAGTGGCAAATTCCAGCTGCTGCCATACCACTGGTGCAGCTGCAGTAGTTGTTTCCACTCCCCCTCCCCTCCCCTCCCCTCCCCTCCCCACCAAGTTGGTACTAGGGTGGCTGCCCTGGTCATCATACCCTAGTTATACTACTGCTTAATTAATGCAGTCAGTGTCACTAAGATGAGGTGATACCTCCTCAACTCACTGCAGATGGTAAGAGCTGTAGTGGGATGAGGAGAGAAAGTAAAACTCTTTGTTCTATCCTTTTCCTTTCCAGAAGAAAACATGTTCTCCACAAGAAACTTGACAACAGTCAGAAGCAGCAGCAGCAGCAGTGAATGTCTGGCCAAAACCCTTGGGATGAGCAGTGAAGGGTCACTGGAGAGCAATGAAGTGAGGCTTTTGTCTAGTCTCACCTTGCCCTGCATTTTACCTTACCTTAGTCACTGTTCTGGCAGAACATGGATCGGGCACTGCAACCTCTCACCCCCTGCCAGGGCTGTATATCTACCATGAGACTAGTTTCTGAGGATAGAGATGTTGCAGGGCAGCAGGGTGAAAAGAAAGCTTCTAAACCTGCTTAAATATAATAGGAAGGGGAAAGTCATTTTGTTCAGTCCTGATCCAGCTGTCTGTCAAATGCCTGAGCCCCTTCCTTGTACCTTTATATCTTGATAGGCAGGAACTGTCCAACTGCGACACTTTCCTTTCATCCCAGCTCTTGTGCTTCCTCTGGAACCAACTTCCAAGGGAAGTAGTGCTGGCTTCTACCTTGGGGGTCTTTAAGAGGAGGCTTGACGATTACCTAGCTGGGGTCATTTGAGCCCAGTTTTCTCTCCTGCCGAGGGCAGGGGGTCGGACTAGAAGATCTGCAAGGTCGGTCCCTTTCGACCCTACATCTATGAATCTATGTATAGACACTAGTGGTGTCTCTCAAATGACTGAGCGGCTTTATAAAAAGGAAAGAGAATGATTTAGGGTAAGATTTTTCGAGAGCATTTAGGTCCTGTTTTGTTTATGGGGGGGCGGGTTGGTGAGATTTGTGCTTCTAAATTGTGTAGGTGTTGCTGGGAACTTTTATCTTAGACAAGTGGAAAGTTCTGGGAGCCCTGTAAATGATAGAAGTAATTGGGGGAATACTTTGGTTTGCACAAGTTTAGACTTTCCCCATCAGCCCACCTGTGTATGTGTCCTGACCTGGCCTATAACCCACCTGGTGTGTACCACAGGAAATTCACTAAAGGTGCTGCTGGCTCACTGACAACTGTTTGTAAATCCCAGGAGAACTTGGGGGTGGGGGTCAGAGATGAGAGCAGAACCTTCACTTCTTATCTCAATAAGAGTGAAATGAGCAACTGCAACCAGCAAGTCTAATTCCATTCCCTTGTGATTCTTTGTGTTGGACCTATTGAGCATCTGAAGGGCAATGATTTTGAGTGCTAAGCAGCGGAATTTCATAAACAGCCACTTGTGCAGCACAAACATGTCTCCTTTAAATTAGGGAATGAATGGAGAAAGGGAAACCAATTCTTGTTATGTGTGGACTTAAGTGACTCGTTTGATGCTGGATCTCATTAAATCTTGCCAGACTCACCCAAATCAAGCTACTTTCATAGTGAATGTTATCAGCAGCATTGAAGTCCAAGCACTCGTTTCTTGGCCCCTGCAATGGAGAGGCTGTAGAAGTGAGTGAAAGTCTCTTCCTCCTCCTTGGAGAAGATTGAGATTCAGTTTGGCCAGTTTGATATTTTTTTTTTTTTTTTTTTTTTTGGGACTTTCTTGGGGCCTCATACAAATAGCATTTTTGTCCAAAAATAAGTAGTTGTCATGATTGTTTAGCCTCGCCAGGAAATAAAAGCTTTGTGACACATGCTGGCAGGCTAGTTTGTTCTTTCTAATCAACCTCCCCTCCCTTCACTGCTGGGCTCTAACTGGTGATATCTGACCCATGTCTTTGTGAGTACTAAAATTCAGTATAACTTTTAAAATCTTTCCCCAAGTACCATGCTCTGATCAGACACAGGCAAGCCAGAAGGGAAGTCTCCCATATCAAATTCTGATAACTGTGTAATGATAAGTATTGATGGAATTTGGGAAGGTGACACAAGACAGAACATCAATTGGAATTACGGGGGGAGCAGAATGACAACATTACTTTGGGGTACAGCTGGTTTGTGTAAGATGATGAATGATGAGACCAAAAGGAGTTGTCCAGGAGTTTGAGTGCCCGTTACATTTTTAAAGCTAGGTTCTAAATCTCTTGTAGTTTCAGAGTTGGTAGGGTTGGAAGGGACCTGAGCAGGTCATGAAGTCCGACCCCCTGCCATGGGCAGGAAAGGATGCTGGGGTCAAATGACCCCAGCAAGGTATCGATCTAGCCTCCTTTTAAAGACCCCCAGGGTCAGAGCAAGCACGACTTCCCTTGGAAGTTGGTTCCAGATCCTAGCTGCCCTGACTGTGAAGTAGCGTCTCTTGATATCTAGCCTGAATCTACTCTCTGTCAACTTATGGCCATTTTTCCTTGTTACTCCCAGTAGTGCTGATAAGACGGGAGCTCCCCAGCCTGTAGGTATGCTGCTGGTTCTTCCTCCCTAGGTGCAGTACCTTGCACTTGTCAGTATTGAATCCCATCCTGTTCTCATCCCACCCCTGTAACTGGTCCAAATCTAGTTGCAGCCTGTCCCTTTCCTCTAGCGTGCCCACTTCTCCCCACATCTTAGTGTCATCCGCAAATTTGAACAAGGTGCTTTTCACCCCCTTGTCCAAGTCACTGATGAAGATGTTGAACAGTGCAGGCCCAAGGATCGAGCCCTGGGGGACCCCACTGCCCACATCCCTCCAGGTCGAAAATGACCCGTCCACCACCACTCTCTGGGTGTGGCCTTCCAGCCAATTGGCGACCCATCTGACTATGTAGGCATCGACACTACAATCTCCTAATTTTTTTAATGAGAATGGGGTGGGAGACTGTAGTGGGGGACAGATTGTAGGCACATGCTGCATGAGTATGATATAGTTGGGCACCAGAGGGGCTCCTTAGTTCTCAGAGCTGCTTCCCCATCCCTTTGCTGGTCAAAGGATTTGACATTTCTTTGGGCTTCAGTATGTGGTGTCTGATTTCATTTGCAAGCCAAAAAAAAAGGGACGTCCCACTTTGGAGCAGTCAATGCAGCCTTCTCAGCTACCCTCCCAAGACTGGAGTCGTCCTAGGCTCTGGTTTTCCTATCGCTAGCCCTTGCTAACAAGAAATTTGGTCTTTACTAATCATGTATTTTGGATTTTTTCTGCCTTGGTGAAAGTTGCATGGTATTGACCATGTTACTATGAATAAGACTAAGTATCATGTTTCTACCCAGATCCCTTGACAGACCCTGCCTGAAGTCAGACAATAAGATGGAAGTGCAGCCCTGGACATTCTTATGTACTACTTCACTCCCTAGGGATACAGTCCCCTGTAGTATTCAAGATAATTCTATACACTGATCCTTTGCCGTTCAGTTTGCTGCTTGTGTTTTGACAGGACTCTGACCATGCCAAAAAGCTCTCTAGTCGGAAGCAAGCAAAAAGCTACACAAAGGTCAAGACCCGTTACAGCAGCAGTGACAGCCAGTGGACACACAGCCCTGGGAAAGCTGGAGCATCTAGTCAGCAATGCATGGTCCATAATCTCCCAGAGCCTCCTGCCTACACAGGGCCCCAGGTAACAGCCACAGGGGGAGCAGAATCTCCCTGCTGCAATGGGGCAAGAATGCATGTGCCACTTATAAAGGTAGCTCTGTCCCACAATTCCAGACTAGTCACCCAGATGGTGCTTGTTGCTGAACTTGCTAGTTTCAATGCACTTAAAACAAAGTAGCTATTTTTACATAGAAGGGCTTAGTGTATTGCTCTCCCTGATTACTGTGGGTCCCAGAGCTGCTAACCACAGTTCTTCCAGCCTTTTTTCTGGCCCCTACTATTCTCCCAATTTCAGTGCACCTACTAGATCTAATGTTAATAATAAGCCATTCATGTCTGAGACAACTCCATCTGCCTAATGATGTTGTAGTGGCAGGTTGAGGAATGTACTCTTTAGTGAGCAGAAAGACAGATGTGTGTGTATGTGGTGCCATTCTTTTCCATTCAACTCTGGACAGTGCTGAGTAAGTTGTGAAAGTGAACACAGCCTAATAAAGTGAGGAAGCAGCAGGTGTTTGTCCTGGACAGTAGCTGTTTGCCTCTTGTGCTGAGGAGTTAGGGTTCCTGTTCTCCATAGGCCTGCTAACCTGTTTGCGTTGGCCGGCTGCAGGATTTGGCAACATTTCTGGAGCAGATCGGGTGCCTGAAGTACCTCCAGGTGTTTGAAGAACAGGATGTTGACCTCCGCATCTTTCTGACCCTTACAGAGAGTGATCTGAAGGAAATAGGCATCACGTAAGTCTATGTGGTGTAATCCCCTCCATGGCACTGACACATGGGTGAGTCAGGAGAGTTTAGCTGCTGAGTTTGCTTTCCAACCTCTCTCTTCCCATCCAGTATTTTGCTAGTGTCCTTCAGTTTCTTGCCCTTCGCCACCATGCTGTTCTAACCTGGTACCCTTTGCATTTCTACCAATGCAGTTTAATTCTGACCTGCAGGAAGCCTTGGTCTTCTAGCCTTGTGCCCTTGCACAATTCAAGCAGTGGCCCTGTCAGTCTGTAACAGTCTTGTTCAGAGGTGCCCAAATTACTGAAGATTGATAGATTTTTGCTGCCTCTAAGTGGCCATTCATGGGTGTTTTGATGGGCCTGAGCAATAAAGACAGGAGCTTCTGAAGCCAGGTCCTTGAGAATTACTGCTATTAAGTGATTGTTGCTGTCTCTCCAGTCTGTTTGGACCCAAGAGAAAGATGACATCTGCCATTGCTCGATGGCATAGCAGTGCCCGGCCACCCAGTGATGCCCTAGAATTAGCATATGCAGATCGGCTTGAGGCTGAAATGCAGGAGCTGGCCATTCAGTTGCATAAGGTAAGAACCATGGCTCTAGGCTCACAGGGCAGAGAAACTGTCTGTGGGCCAGCTTCCAGTGCTAATAGTGGCTCAGAAGCTTGTTTCAGACAGTTGAAGTGAACAGTAAAATAATTTGTGATGCCTCTTCAAGGCAGGTAGTTTTGGGGGAAGGAGCTGAGTGTTTCCAGTGTCTGGTCCAGGGGCAAAAAAGGTCACATAAGCCTTGGTGCTGATTCTGCACATCTTTAACCTTTTCTTTTCAGTGCTGGTGGGGATGTTGATCATTCTTCCTGATCATTGTCCACTTATGCTAAGATTGGGGCACTCACTTTTGCAGAAAGTCTGTTCCAAGTGGAATCATGAAAAGCAGGGCTGGCCTTGCTTTTGAGTGACCACAGGTTAAGGTGTGTGGGGAAACTTGTCTGGTTTCCTTCTCACTAGTAACTGGGCTTCTGGTGAGCTGGAGATGTTTGCCAGGGTCTTATGTGGCTCCATATACCACTAAAACAGAAAGCTCCACTGGTATCTCAGTGGAAGTCAAGTGTCTGTTTTCAGTGTACAACATTCCTGTTTCGGTCCCTCTTCTCCCACTCTCTTCTGCTATAGAGATGTGAAGAGGTGGAAATGATGAAGGGACAGGTGTCCCAGGAGCAGGAGTTGCGCGCTGTGGTCGAGAGCTGTTTGATGGAGCGAGATATGGCCTGGAATGATGTCCAGCTTCAGCTGCAAGAGGCACAGGCCATAACGAGAGATGTTGGGGTCTTACTAGAGCAGATCAAGTAAGTAGTTCCAAGGAAAATGAAGAAGGGGCCTACCCCAGGGAGGCCATCCCAATGTTCCCATCCACAAACAAGATCATCAGTCCAGTAATTGGTGTTGACATTGGTTTTGCCATTTTAGTTCACCTTCCAATGAGAGGAACAGGAGCAGGGAAGTTTGCTTTACCCATAATCAGGAGGGCTGAAAACTTGCTCTGTTTTTTAAAGCAAAAGCTGTCCAAGGGCCTGTCCACACACAGAAGGTTGCACTAGTTTAAGTGAAGGCATTTGAACACCAAACCATTGTAGCTTTGTGTGTAGATGCTGGGTCTAAACCTGCTGAGTCCTGGCTTAGCTTTACATCTGTGTTACAAAGGTGCCACACTCGTGTGTGGATCAGGCTCAAGTATCATGCAGACTTTGATAGCCCCTAGCTTAGGCCTTCTCCTGCTCATCCCTGCCCCTCCTCCTCTTCTTCCCCTGTAGCTCCTCTGTGGATGGGGCAAAGATAGCTGGGGAGATGGACGAAAATCTCAGGCACATCTTCCGCAGCCTGGGAAGGAACGAAGAGCAGTTTGTAACCCTGTGAGTTGCCAAACTGAAGAAACGTTTCCTCTCAGTTAATTGTGATCCCTTGGCAACCCGAGCAGGTATTTACAGGGCATAGTAGTGGCTTCTTGGCCATGCTGGTATGGTGTTTTCTAGGAGTGCCAGTGTGCCTCGCTAACAGGGTTTTGTCCCATTTGGCAGAACCTGTCAGACTGAGTTGTCCTCCCGGCTGAATCAAGAACATGTGGCTAGCAGGAGGCTGGAGACAAAGGCAGAACTGAGAATGGGTGAGTGCAGAAGGCTTGAGTGAGAGGGGCAGAACCATGTGCTGCGCTGGCTCTGTATAGTCACAGGGGTACATGAAAAAGTTAGCAAACACAAAATCAGGCTAAGCAAAAAATACAGATACTGGAGTAAGTACAAGAGGTGCCTTAAAGGTGCCTTTTTAGAACTGAGAGTACAACTAGTGAGTGTCTTTCAAATGGCTGAACAGCTTTATAAACAGGAAAGAGTGGTTTCGGGTAAGATTTTTCCAGAGCATTTAGGTCCTGTTGATTTTTGGTGAGATTTTGCTTTTAGATTGATGTTTCTGGGAACGTTTATCTTAGACAAGTGGAAAGTGCTGGGAGCCCTTTAAATGTCTGTATTGATGGAAGTATTTGTGAGAATACTTCTGTTCAAGTTTAGACTTTCCCCATTAGCCCACCTGGTGTGTACCACAGGAAATTCACTAAAGGTGCTGCTGCCTCACTGACAACTGTTTGTAAATCCCAGGAGAACTCGGGGGGGGAAGGGGGGGTGTCTGTCACAGATGAGAACAGGACCTACACTTCTTATTTCAACAGGAGTGAAATGAGCAACTGCAACCAGCAAATCTAATTCCATTCCCTTGTGATTTTTTGTGTTGGACCTATTAAGCATCTCAAGGGCAATGATTTTGAGCACTAAGTAGCAGAATTTCATAAACAGCCACTCGTGCAGCACAAACATTCCTTTAAATTAGGGAATGAATGGAGAAAGGGAAACCAGTTCTTGTTATGTGTGGACTTAAGTGACTCGTTTGATCCTGGATCTCATTAAATCTTGCCAGACCCACCCAAATCAAGCTACTTTCATGGTGAATGCTGTCAGCAGCATTGAAGTCCAAGCCCTCATTTTTTTTGGGCCATGCAATGCAGAGGCTGTAGAAGTGAGTGCAAGTCTCTCTGCCCTTTATCTGTCTCTCCCAGGTCTTGAAGAATGGCCAGCATCCTTGAAATCCTTGAGCCTGCCTGAGCTGTCAGTTCTCCTGGAGGAGTGTGTGGGAGAAATGGGTAAGATGGATGGTGGTCTTGGGGCTCTTGCTGGGGACCTGTGGCATGTCTGCTGCTTTGGGAAAAAGACCTTCTTGGGTAAAGCTCTTGCAGCCTGACCTGTATTGGGGTGTAAGCCTGTTCCCCTTTACAATCCAGATGGGACTCTTCACACTCTTGGTGCTGGTGTGGGTGTCTTTTTGTATATTTTTCCTGCTGCCACAGCAAACCACACTGCACCTGTTTGAGAGCAGACCTCGGACAGCTCCTCTCTTTGGGTATCCCATCTCAATTCTTATTTTCCCCCTCCCCCAGTCTTGTTGCAGAAGCCTCAGTCTAGCCAGTGAGGCCCCCCTGGGGGCTCCCTTCAGAGCTTATGGGAGCCACCATCATACTCACCACAGGCAACGTGCTGCTGCACTCTGCCTTGCCCTGGCTGTGAGCTTATTGCCTACACAGTGCCACCCTGCAGCAACCTCTTTGGAACAGAGTTCTGGCACTTCCCCCTCTCCTACTGGTCCCAGATGCACTATTCCTCCCAGGGCACAGGTCCTCTTCCCTGCTCCCTGAGCCCAATCCCTTGCCATCAGTGCCTGTAGGTTTTCTGTGCAGTGATGGGGCTGCTTTGTTCCTTCTGTTCTTCATCTTTCTTCTCTGTAGAACATGGCTTTGTTGTGCCTGACACTTCTCTCATTATCCCCAAGCAGCATGTCAGGTGCTAGGAATGCAGCGACAATGCCAGCTACAACTCTGTGTGCAGCAAGCCTGCCTTCCTGCCAGGGGGAGTATTGGTTAGGACCTTAAGATTATCCCCAACTCTTCTCAAACAAGCCCTAGGGCAATTTTTCTGGCACTGGGAGGGGGGGAAGACTCCTGTCTTACACAGAATGCCATCTGTAAGCTGTCCCCCATCCAGTGGTGCCAGAGCAGCCTGGGGCTGTGTGGCATTTGAATCCATGGCTTTCTGGCTCCAGTGCATGCCAAAAAGCTACTAGAGACTTTTTGCACATCGGCCATAATTACTCTCCTCAACAGCTGTCCTGTGGCCCTTGCTCTTCTTAGAGCCAGGCACCTCGGGGTGGTTCTGTGGCTCCCGTGTCACCTTGTGAGACAAGAGTAGCTTTTTCCCATGCAGCCAGAGAAGCTGACTGAGACATAGTCTGCTTCTTCCCTGCTCTGTCCCCTGCTAATATGGCTGTGCTGGAGAAGACTGTTCTCCCTAATTGCGCTTATTTTCTCCTGTACAGCAAACCATGCAGCTGCCTCTCAGGGGTCCCTGTACTGTTCTCCTAACTGGAAGGCAGAGGAACAGAGGGAGGGCTGGGTTAGAGAGACCTGGGAATAGAGTGGCGTGACTCCACATCTTCCTTGACTTGTGTTGTCTGGTGTGGTAGGTAATGGTGGTTTTCTCTTTGGTCCATAGGGAAAGCCCTACAGTCTGTGACTCAAAACCTTACCAGGCTTCAGGACCAGGGGCGGAACAAGCAGAACTGGCCAGAACCCTAACAGAAGAATGGTGAGTGGGGGCAAGGGGCTGGGATCAATGTCAGTGTCCATCAAATGCTGCTTTCTCCTTTCACTTTCCTTTCTGTAGCTCTGCCTACATGCTTCTATCCAGATCTGAAAACCTCTTGAGGGTCACTGCAGTCAGCTTGAGCCTTTCAATAGGCCCCTTAAAGTTCCTCACATGAACTGCTGCAAGCCCCTGTTCCCAGCTCCCATTCCTCTGCTCCTAGTGAAGGGTTAATTTTCCAATCTGCCCTCCCTGGTTGGGGCCTTCATAGATTCATAGATGCTAGGGTCAGGAGGGACCTCAATAGATCAAGTCCGACCCCCTGCTTAGGCAGGAAGGAGTGCTGGGCTCAGATAACCCCAGCCAGATGTCTGTTCAGCCTTCTTTGTGAACAATGCCTGTCTCCTTCCCCTGTAGGAGTTCTGACGTCGGGTGACTTCCACCCGGAAGCTGAGTGAGTCTGGGAGAATGAGCACGAGGGCTGGTTCGACAGTACAGCTCCTTTCCTCTCTGAGAGCACAGAGGGAAGTTGAGGCAGCAGGTATCTGGAGGATGGTGTTGATCAGCTGGGAACATGCTTCAGAGAGCGAGAGACAGCAGAGAAGAGGAGTCACGTGAGCAAGCAACCCCATGGTCCCAAGACAGTTGCTTTCCTCATGCCAACAATTAGTGCATTAGCTGAAACTTTGAGAATGGAGGAGTCAGTCTGCCTCTGGCCTCTCCTGGAGACCCTACCTACTTTGCCATTTAAGGTCATGTGATTTTTTTTTTTTTTTTTTGAACAGCTAACTGTAGTCAACCAGCCAAATTATTCCACCTTCCCCACACTTCTCTGAACCCTTGAAATGCTTCCCTCTGCTGTGTGGTATCTGCCAGGAGCTGTCCCAGGAAATGTACCTGGTGCAGCACTGGAGGCTGGACCAGTGTT